GTTAGCATAAATCACTTAAATGGCGAAAAATTAGGTGTCTATTTACTTGTGACCACTCAGTGTATATTCGGCTTTATCTTTCGGCTCTAGTTCAGCTTAACGAAGTTAGAGTTCTAAGATCAGCTAACCTGCGATAAATAAATAAATAATAAATCACGTACACTCTTTACAAATATTAATATCTGCACGTCACCGACTTTGGACACTGATGTCAGTCTCATTATTCATATAAACTACAAATTGATGTGAATAGATAGAAAGAGAGTTATCGTTTAAGTGTAAATAAAAATCCAGAGCTTAACTAAACGATAGAGTGAATAGTAGATGAACCGTAAACAAATCCATAACAAAATAAAAATAGAATTTACTACCTCACACTTCTTCACCTTTAGACAAAGGAAGTGATTACATTATCACTCCGTATAAATTCCCAGTTTTAGTATACTTACTTTTAACCCCCTCATTATACTGACATCATGAATCATTTACAGTTTGAGTACAGATACCTAACAAGGAGAACAATTCATGTTCTTGAATCTTTAGAATGATTTTCTCTTTAGAATCCGAAGACAGCTGACCACCTAGGTTGAATAGAAGAAATAAGTGATCAGCATTTTACCTTGAAGGATGAAATGTGGATAGACCGGAATATGCATTTTATCTTGTTGTGAGGGGGGGGGGGTAATTCTTATAGCTTTTTGTCGACATTTATTTTACTGCAGTTGTCTATGACGATGATAATTTTCTCATGTATTGAAAGAATTTTCACTGGGGGACATACATGTAAATCTTCATTTTAGACACTGAAGATCATCTTATCGTTACCCTTGACATAGAATCTTTTTAATTAATCAGAATGAAGTAACAAATTACTTCAAACAGTCTATTCCATTTTAGAGTAAAATTACTTACTGCAGAAGATAATGAGCGTGTCCTCAATAATAGTAAGTTGCATACTTTAGTTGTGTTCGAGAGACTCTTATTGTTGCAGGTTTGTCTCCATAGCTTCTAAGAATTTTACCTCCTGTATAATTTCTTGAAGTAGTATTGTTAGTTCATCTATGGCTGGAAGTGTTATTAGATATTTCGTTTGTTGGTTCCAAAACGTCCTTCTTTGACCTCTTCTTTAACTACCACAGATGTCAAATATCAAAACTTTCTAAAACTGCGCATACAGTCAAAGAATATATCCATAACTTCTTACTAACATAACAGAGCAATACACCACTAATATCATGATTAATATTCCTGTAACTAAATCACTCGTGAAAAAAAAGAAACAGAAAAAGTAAAACCAACCTAATTCCAAAACAATATTTACACAACTACAAAATTATTAACCTATCGGATAATAACCAAAAATAACACTTATTCATTATTTCTCGTGAACTAACTTATCGATGGTCATGACAGGGTTTTTATTCACTAGATGCCAAAGCATGTGATCATTATTTACATACTTTTTAATCACCACTAGGGGAAACTGGTATCAGCCTCATAATTCATACAAACTTAAAATTGACGTGATTAACTTGAAGGAGAGTTAGCGCTTAAATCTAAACTAAAAATTCATAGTTTAACTAAACGATAGAAGGAATAGTAAATGAACAGTAAACAATACCATAACGAAATAAAAATAAAATTCGCTACCTCTCATGGCAGTATACTTCTATCTGGAGTTCGATGAAAACAAACAAATGTAATAAATACAAAGAAAATGAAGTTGGAAGTGAATTAAACAGAGATAGAATTACGTTTATATACTGAACATAAAGCTAAAGGAAAATTCATGTTAAATTTTTCATGGCATTATTTATTTAAATAATAAGGATTTACTTATTTTTCATTATATTATATATATATATATATTAATTTTTCGTCTTAGTTTAACTTTCAGTATTTGCAGAGGAGTATAATCTACGATAAGTCCGATGACAACAAATAAATACAATATAAATAAAGTGCGAAATACATACTATGAAAATTAAGGAAGTTTGAAAAAGTCTGTGGCAGTATTGACGGAACAGGTGGTAACACGCATGGTGACGGATCTATTATCGAGAAAACCAAGTCTCCCTAACTCTTATCCATTCAAATTTCGACATTTCATACTGTGTCGAATTGTTCAAAAATAAATAAAAATTTATGCTAACAAATCAGGAAAAATGACCCAACTTAGAATAAAGGTAACAGGTGTCTTGCAGATGGAAGGACTGTCCACCGCTTGAATTCTTCGAAGCAAACTATTGGTAACAAATAGCATTATCGACCAATGTATTCTTGTTGTTAAATACTTGGCCGTATCATTTCTTATTCGATTATACTTTATTCAACAAAAAGAAGCTACCCTAAACTTCTTTAGAGATGTTCTTGAATTAAATGTGTTATCTGTTTGGGGTGATTCCGAGGCTGAAAAAGTATTGATAAAAGAAGTATAGTGTTCGCATTTAAAGTGTAAAGACTGAGAACAATGAAAATGAATTGTATTAAAATATGCAGATATTTTTAACAATAAGCCTGAAAATAGTATTGTTACCATTAGTGAAAAGCCAGTGTTTAGTTAGCCTTATCTTCATTTTCCAACTAATTACTTAATTGAACCCTCCATTTCCTGGGCTTCTCCAGTAGTTATTGTCAAGAAGAAGACTAATGATTTTATATTCTGTGTGGACTAAAAATTCAAATCAAGTCTTGGAATCTGACCGATATCCATTGCCTCATATATGTAATATTTTTAATTCTCTGTCAGGAGCAACCTGTATCAGTACGTTAAACCTATCAAGTGGATATTGGCAAACACCTGTAGAATTGGAGGATTGACATAAAACTGCCTTCACAAGTGATAATGGACTTTATCAATTTAAAATGATACCATTTGGTCTGAAAAAATGCACCTGCTACCTTCCAAAAACTTATGGATATTATAACGCTTTAGCAGGAGTAACTGCATGTTCACGGGCTTATATTGATGCTATTATAATGTTTCCACCCACATTTGATCAACACCTGAAAGACCTTAAGTTGGTTTTCTACAAGTAAATTTGGCTACCAGAAGTATCATATTTAGGGTTTAAACTTACTTTTGAGAGAATACACATAAATTATGACAAGATAAAAATTCTTAAAAGACTTACCAACTCCAAAGAATTGCAAAGAGTTAAGCAAACTAATATAACCAGAATTTCCAATAATAAAATGCTACTCTATTGTAAAATAGTCATGAAAGTAGTATTCTGAAGCTAATAAAAAGGAAAAGTATTGTTACGTCTCCGTTTGTTAATTGATTTTCCGTAACTTCGTTCGGACGAAACTTTAGCGACACAAGTCCTTACTTAATAAAACTGGTTTATTCTTCCTGAATATAACTTTACCGATACACTTATTTTCAACAGTTGCTCTTTTACAAACGTTTTTAACAACGAACGTTAACTTCAACAATACTTCCTCACTGCAGTTCAATTACTCGCTACCTACACACATTGTTGT